CTAATACTAATGATGATGATTCTTCAGATTCAGCAAAAACTATTGCTAGCATTCATAGTACCTTTTCAAGAATGTCTGGTAGACATCGAACATCCCAACATCAATCACGCCAAAACGCAACTCAACATTCTCAATCTCGCCAACCACAATCCCTCCAACCTTCCCGCTTCTGTCATACTTCGCCAAATAACTATAGAGATCGTTCATTATCACCACAATATGACCAACCTGATCCTGGATCACTAGACAGAAGATCGTCTAATCAAAATCAACAACGTAATCAAGATGGTAATTTGTTATATAAAGTCTTTTTTTTTTTTTTTTTTTTTTTAATTTTTTTTATATTTTTTTTTTTTTTTTTTTATTTTTTTTTTTTTTTTAATTTTTTTTTTTTTTTTATATTAAAAAAAAAAACTTTCTGTCATTAAAAGAATATCACCATACCTACCAAAGTCGCTATCTTGTCAAAGAATGACTGTTTCAACAAAACTAGCAGCTATACCTTCTAATCAGAGAGCTGCACGATGACGTACGTGAAGTTAAAGCCGAACTAAGATGGCAACAGAGCGAACAAAGTAACGAACTATCAAGTCAAGTACTAGACGTAAGTAAATCGTTTAGTAAAAGTTTTGAAATGCACATAGTTAAGCATCGTTTTTCATAAATATATTATATAGGACATGTATACAAATGTTGTAAAGTGCCTGTTCTCTCAAGACGTGTACCCTCCCAAAGCACTCTTAAGAAATCCCTTAAGAATTATTTGGAGAAAATGTATCCTGACTTTATGTCAAATATAAGCACAAATAAATTTACCAACCAGTTCCATGAGTAGGGTGAAAAGGGGAGTTCTGGTACACTTTTTCACACCTCTATATGAATTAATATTTAAAAATCATTTTAATCGTCATCCTGCTATTTTTTATAGCACTTTTATATACTATAGCTTGGTGAAAAATTTTATATAGCTAGAAAATGATAAAAATTTGATCACGTCGTCATTCATATATATTAGAGTGATGATAAAAAATTGATCGCATCGTCAACTAATCCA